GGGGTAGGGAGTGCTTAATGTTGTCACCAACTTATGGTGGCCAATGGCCAAGAGAAATCTAAAGCTTTAAGTGCCACCTCAGAGCTGTTTGGTTAAAGCGCTGGTGTTCAGCTCAGCACTAATGGGTGTTCCTTTATACCACCCCTGCCACCAATCAACTGTGAGATTCCTCACTTAAACACAACAAAGAAGACGGATCAACCAAAGTCTTGTCTTCCTGAAGATACCATCTTTCATCTAAATTCACATTTCAGGGCCTAATTCTGATCCCCGTTAAAATCTGCACTTCCAGTGATAAATAATCACTCAGGTCCTAGACCTAAATCCTAAATTTAACATTGTGCACACAGACATGTTCCAGTTAAAGATGTATGTATTTCAGTTTAACTTCCACTACTGGTGAAGGCAACTGAGGTAGGCCAAAAGCATAGATAAATTGAACTAGTAGCCCTGAGAGCCTAAATACAGGGGACTATGAAGACAAACCTTCCCATATATTTGAATCCTAAAATGTACCCTGTACAATGTAGGAAGCATTCTTCTCAAATTAACCTTAAAACTCATTAGCAAGGCTGAGCAAGGAAAGCAGAGAACTGAAGAAAATGCTTAATTTTTCAGCCTTGCTACATTTACATTTTTTCAGAATTTAAATTAAATTCGTCTAAAGAATTCCCCCCCCACCCCAAAGGGGACAATGAGAACAATGGCACATTCCTATGCAGAGCCCAGAAACACTTCTCACAGGCTTCAAGACTCAAACCTCACATGGTGGCAGCAGGTCCAGGTCTTAACTACCTGGGGAAAGTACAGACAAACAACGAAAAGCTATTTGAGTTACTGAGTCTCAGCAAAGCTCCTCCCCTTCCTCTGAAACACGGTGATTGACCTCATCAGTCCTAACCCACTGCAATTAATCCCAAGTAAAATTATTTCAATTAAACCACCTTCATGGCTCAAGTTATGTTGCTTGCTTTGGCATAGCAGAACCATGCACATGTAATCCAGTTACTTCATCTCAGCAGCAACTCTTAGCTCAGAGGTAGGAAAGTCACATGGCCTGGTAACTCCATGGCTTGTGACTGCCAATCCATACTTTAACTGCATTCAGTATTGCATTGCTATAGTCATGAGACGCAGCTAACTTGTGCTGCCAAGCACCTTTTTTCTGCCTCATGCAGAAGTATTTCAAGGAACTTAGTTCAATGAAGTCTATTTCTCTTTCATGTTTTACTAGAGACTGTCCCCTGCAGAGACGGAGCATCCTGCTGCTTTTCCATCTCCTGAAGAGCACACCCCAGCAGCTTTTCCTCTCCAGGTCCCCACTGCATAAGAGAACAAATCAAATTACTATTACAAAAAAATTTAGTCTTCAAACTGTTAAATCTCACCCAAATGTGTATTTTGCTTGTCACTCCTTTTATTCTATTTTCATAGGAAGAAAGCAATGATCAACAAATTACTGCACAAAAGCACGTGAGCACTGGCAGGCAGTTTCAAAGCTATTGACAAAAAACAGTCTATTCACTGCAAGAGTCCTACATTCACAATCTCTCTGATCAGGATGCAGGGGGCTAATTCAATAGTTCCCAATGGAAAATACCTAGTGGGCATGTTTGATTTCTGGAGACAATGCTATACCATGGGGAGCTTTTCTCTACCTCCATCTCTCTACTTCCAACTCCTTTTTTCTGGCTGGGCTTTGGTTTGTGTTTCTTTTTTTTAAGATTTGAACAATTTGCTCTGAAATACCATAGTAATGCTTAACTCCTACAAAATATACTTCTAAAAAAAAAGATAAAAGAAAGAAAAATGTTAGGGGGAGGAGGAGGGAGAGAGAACCTTTTCAGTAAGGCTGGGACCTTACTAAGTACTACTTTATTAGGGCAGGCAGCTGTCCACAGACAAGTCCACATTATGTGGACAATGTATATTAGTGAATGTCAAAAATACCTTGTATTGTAATTTGTTAATTAATTTAAAGAGAATCAGATCTAATGCAGGACTCAAATATTTCCAAACTCTTCCTAGAGTAAGACCATGCAATAATGCTGCTGAGTTCACAGCAATTCATGTGCTACCTGAAGCCTGAGTCCCTGCCACTAGCAAGTTAATTTGCTCCCTGCTCTTCAAACTGTGAGAAGGTTTTTCATACATGAGCCACAAGGCACATAAAAAGAGCATGTGAAAACTCATAACAAAGTTCACATTTTCCAGTGTTTCCACCTCACATTAGCACTGAACGTAAGTACTGTTTCAGTACCATTCATAGACTGTCAACAAAGCAAAATTCCATGTTTTACTCAAAGCTATTCCAGTCATGTGTTAGAATCTCATCAAAACAGCACCCTCATTGTCCTCTTCAACAACATTGTTTGTTAGGAATGGAAAAACATCTAGTGCAGCTTATTTATCAATATTTCTCTTTGGCTTCCAAAGTCCTGTGACTATTTTCTTTTGCAGCTGAACTTAATTGAGGAAGTAGCCTGAGATATTTTGCAGGTTTCCCTTGAAATCTCTCACACAATACTGGCCGCTAGGTATTTAATCCAGGAATTTTAAAGTTGAAAACCTGTAAAGACATTTCACTATGCTGTCAGCATCTGCTGTCCCTGTGACCAGTAAGCAAATGATAGATCTTTTCACGCATAATTCAGACATAACACTAAGTTTTAGGCCAATTCTGCAAGAGAGGGCAAGCTGACAACAACTTGGTGTTTATCACTTCTTAGGCCATAGGGGCTTTAACCTGGAATTGCATGAATCAGATAGCTTTTCAGTTCAGCACACACTTCACTTAGATTTCTTTCCTTTCAAACGCCCCTGCACCACAAGTCCAGGGAATCAATCCAGAATTACTCTTCTATGTAATAGCACAATTCAGTCTTATGGTACAAACCCAAAAATTACCAGAATGAAGAGTTTTCCTTCCATTATTTCCAGATACTACCTAAACCCACAAGAAGCAGAGCTCAGCCCTTCGCACTGTAAAAGCTACACAGTTGAGCCTCAGAATTTTAGGTCCAAGAATACAGCAGTTAAAATTTTTATTAACATCTAAGACCGCCATAAAGAGAAGACAAAGCATAAGGTAGGACCAGGAAGAATGCTGAAATTAGCCCCACCATTTTATGCTCTGATCAACAGAAGATGGCCTGCTACTATGAGTACTGCAACTGAAATAAAGAATGCCCTTCTGAAATTAAAAAAGGGTATCAGGAATACCTGATTAGAAATGTAGAAGAGATGGACAGAATGGATGAAACAGTAGCAGGCACAATGCTAGGGATTCCCCGAGTTATATTCTGAGATTTTGCTTGTGTTCTAAAATATATATTATTTAAAATTACAGTCATAGCAGCTATCAAAAATTTAATTGATGTTTACAATGAACTGTGACACAGAAGAAAAAACATGGCACATGGCAAAATTATAGTGTCTATCAGCAGAGATACTAGCATTAGGTGTAATATGGAATAAGCTACCTGGCAACTTGAACTTTATCTTTCCCTCAGTTTTAAAACCTGTGTTGACAGCAGAAGTGGAGAAATCCAACACATAGCACCACTATTGATCACTGGATCTGTGGGAGCACAAGACTAGGGGCCTTTAGGATTGCTGTCTCTTTGATCTTCAGAAAATGGTGTAACTTTTTGAAAACTGGTTTCACATGATATCTTTTCACATAGGTTAAACTAGACCTGTGACTTTGTTACACTGGAAAAAAAAGTAATTTTCTTCACAGAATTATTTTCAGATTGATTTTTACACCTACTTCGCAGAGAAATCGAAAGTTCAGAGCTCTCACAATCCCTTTGTCTTTGCTCTCCAAACATGCATGTACATACACGCTATTAGAGGTCTTTTTGCACTTCTGCAGCTTTTCTTTGTTTCAACAACAATCTGGATGGAGAAAAAAACAAAGCCCTCTCCTCTTTCCCTCCTCCTCTTCCCCCTTCCCCCCCAAATGATCTGCTTTTAATCATAACTAACATTTAAAACAGACATTAGAAAGGAAAGGCTACCCCTTTATAATTACAAACTTGATAATTACCTGGTGACTTGTAACAGACCCATTTTCAATGCATCTTCCTCCCTCTGTCCCTTGATAATGTAATCTAATCTCTTGGCTATGCTTTCATCTGGCATCCAACGCTGCACATTGTTTATCAAACAACAATCTTTTCTTAGTCAATGACAGAACAAAGGCAAGGAAGAGCAACTGTGGTAATACTACAGCACTTACCACTTCAAAAGTAACTGCATCGGTATAATTTATATTGCTTGTGTGCTTTTTGTTTACCTCTTTTAAATCTAGTTTTATCTCCTCTGTGCAAGACTGCAACCTACCTTCACCCATTTACTGGACTCTCTATATTTACACATTACAGAAGCCATTGTGCACAATGTCAACAGTGGAAGTCAAAAGTGGAAACGTGGTTTCCAAATGCAGAAAGCTGAGATATTCCATGAGTGTTTTCATATTTGAAAGCACAGCCATTTTCCATGACAGGAAAATCATGTGCTTTACATTACTGGACTATCACTAAGTCTTAGCAATAATGTGTAATGACTGTTTTTTTAAAACATGTTTTACTCTCTCAATTTCACACTTAGAAATTCTGATAAGACTCTCAACAACACGAGTTCAATTTCTCAAATTTCTTATACCTAAAAATGGAAGGGAGGTCAGGCTGCTGAAGTTTCATCTTTGGATCTTGGGGTCCAATGATCCTCTTTCCTAAAGATGCCTGCACTCCATATTCCTTATGTGTCTTACCCTTCCCTTTCCTTACATCCACAGCTTAGAACAAGAGGATCCCTGAAACATCCCACCCGTGGTACGTTCAATTCTGATATAACAAAGATCCGGGGCCCTAACCCCCCGATATTTTGACAGTTTACAACTACAAGGACTATAAATAGTAGCATAGTAGTAAAAATAAATCTGCATAAGTAATCAGCAGCTTAGTATAAAATCAGACAGAAACAACTAGGCTCACCTGTATAAAGGGTATCTGCAGATCCAAAACAGCACTAATCACTGAATCCCAAGCTTCATCACTCTTATCAAGTGTCTTTCAACACACAAAAAAAAAAGGTAACACAATTAAAAATAAATCTGGGTGAAGAAAGAGATAGATGAGTACGAGGTATACAAATATATAGTACCACACTAATCTGAGCTTTAAGATCTTTGTACCAAGAGAATCTGAATACAAGTACTACTAGAAAAGAAAGCCCTCAAGTACCACTCTGAGTCACATCAGCATAAGCCCTTCACAGCCCTGGCTGTGCAGGTATTGATGACTGATTATCAAAGCATAATAGCTTTATGGTACCTGACACTGACCCAAACTAATACTGCTACTAAGATAGTAACACACCTCCCCCACTCACTTTTCATATGATTTGAACAGATTCAGGGAGAAATTCCATCTTCCTTAACCGTAAGTTGAAGCACGCAGCTCTGACAATGCTCTCTGCAGATACACCATAACCTCCTACTTAGAGGAATGAACCAGTGAAGGACTGAGATCAGTAAATCAAAGAACAGAAAAATGCGGTTTTGTGGGGGTGAGCACGCTGCCAAGTTGCAATGCTGTTTCAGTCTCTGATGGAAAACACTGTCCCAGGACAGGCAAATCAGGTCAACTCCGGAATTAAAGGTAGGCAAAAAGTCATGACAGCACTGCAAGTCAAGTGTGAGATTGGTATATTCTTCCATAATTCATTAGGTAAGAGATCCATTCACCGAAGCACCAACTTATTAACTAAAACTAAGATAACTGACATTATTAAAAAAAAAAAAAGTAAAATAAAAAATAAACATTTTCTTGAGAAATCTTTGCTCACTTAGTAAAGTCAAAAGAAAACAGAAGACTTGGTAAAAAGTAATAATTATCCTTCATCACAATATGATTTCAGAGGTGTTTGTAATAACGGTCTTTGCAGACATTCATAGTTACAAGGAAACTCACGAGGACAAGCCAAAGAGAGTTAGGTCAAAGCTTTGCTGACAAAACAGAAAACTGTTCTGGTTCTCCAGAAAGAGGAAAGGCCTCAGGACCTAGTTATCCAACTAAGCTAATACTTAAAATAAATAACTAACTCACAGAATATATCTTTCATTGATAGTAGTTTTTGCAGAAACCCAAAGCACTTCAGACAGGAATGCATAATAAAACATTTTTCTAAAAGCCACTCCTGTGACAGAACAGCAGTTATGAAGCTCTATCTTGAGCACAGAAAGAGGGAGCTAGAAGAGTACCATCTAATTTCTTTAATGCCAGCACTTAACCCCAGAGGTTTTCCTGACTCAAAGACATTACGCCTCTGGCGATCTTGTGAGAAGTAGGGCACTTGGTTTCCTCTCCATTGCTCCCCCCATGCACAAATGAAGTTGTTATGACACAGAACAGGTGTGGAGCTTTGACTCAACAGCCATGCATGTATACACCTATCACTTATGGGACCACTTATACTGTCTTCTGCCACAAGGTTAGGCTGGAGGTGAAAGTAACAGTGCCACATCCTATCAATCTGGCAGCGTGCACACAGAACCTGCCTCTCTGCGTTTGTTAAGTGAACAGACCCTACAGGAGCTGTCCTTCCTCCTACCTTGGTATTTTCTGCCTTAAGGGGGTGGGAAAAAAAAAAAACAACATAAAAGAGAAAAAAAAAAAGGAAAAAAGAGAGGGGAAAAAAAAAGAAAAAGAAAAAAGAAAAAGGAAAAAGAAAAAAGTACACTCTGACAAGCTTTAAAATACACAGAACAGATCTTAACCAAACGAAGTTTCATCAGCACACCAACTATTTAATTTCCTCCCAATGACTTGCCTATAAACAGTGAATAATTAGATGGTATTTATTTTTAAGCAGTTACACTACCCAATCACAATGGCAATAACAGTGCTGTAATTGGGCCTTAACAACTTTTGCACCTGAACCATTCAGTAAAAGCCTCTCACAGCAATTCCATTTAGTTACCCCTCACTTATTTTAATGGGTCATGAGAAGATACCCAGGATAATTCAACCAGTCATATAGTTCAATTAACTCAACTCCCAGACTAAACACAGACCCATTTCTCCACACCAGGTGTAAAGCAACAGGCCTTGTTGCTATCGTACTGGTATCTCATACCTGGTTTGGCTCGGGTCCAGTTTTTCGCTGTGCTACACAAGGTCAGGTCAGACAAACAGACTGATTGTCCTGCTTTCAAGTCATCTGGTTCTCCAGCTCACATGTGCTCCTCACACAAGTGCAGGTAACAAAACAGTTTATACAAGAAGCACTGCCAAACCACCCGTCTCCCTAAAATGCCCCACTTATTTAATAAGTATCTACCCATTGTTCAATGCACTCTGGTTGCTACCAAAAAAAACCTAAATTTTGGAGCAGTTGCAAGTGTTAAAATACTTCTGCACCTGTTTTTGCATCTAAACTCCTGGCATTTCAGCAGCCGCATCTTTAGCTGGGTCCTGGGCAAAGTTGATGAGGGCGGGGAAGGCAGTATGCACCCTGCAAGGGCTCTGCAGCTGCAGAGTCAAAAGGGAGGGAGGAGAGGGACCTGGGGCACATCTTCAGCTCCCTTCCATAATTCTATAATTAAAAAAATCTCTCAGCGATGAAACAACTTCCACAAGTGCCACCAATTCAGCAAATGACAGCTACTGCCCACAACTGATACCACGCAAACAATTCTTGGCAAGCACACAGGTTAACAAACCTGCAATAGTTACTGGATAGCTGTTGTAAAAATGACAAACCATAGGTGAATCACAGCTTTATCAGACACCCGTTACCTCAGTCTATAGGAAAATTGCCATAATTAACCTTCACGTTGCTGTTTCCCACCCTTCTTACCTTTTGTGATAAAAGCTTAGCATAGTTACTACTTCTACTTTACTTTTTACTTTAGTGTAAGAGTCATGCTATGATTTTACAAAGAGAACATTTATCAAAGTGTGTTTTAAAAAAATTAAAATGGGGGTTATTGTCTCAGTTTTCTAAGAAAGTACTGTAACAGCTGAATAAGGAAAGGTTATTTTAACCTCCAAAGGCTATTGTTCCTTTTCTAATCCCCAAAATTGTCTGGAGCCAGACAACACACGGCTGCTATGCCCTGAGCTAGAATGAAAGGGGGGGATGGTAGAAGTGGGGTGTCTGTTTACAATTACTCCATTCCTGGTTTTAATGAATCTTTCTGAATGACCGCTAAGTGCTGGTTTTGTTCTTTGGAACAAGGGGCCTATTACTGGAAGACTAAAAAAAGGAAGGAAAAGGGAAAGCAAACACAAAGCTGCCAAACTCAAAAGTGTTTCAAACATCTCAGCTGTATGTCCCAGAGGTAATCAGCTCCACAGACACAAGACTGTCCCTACACATTTGCAGTCTCTTTTCTCCCTCTTCCTTGACAGGCTGAAATAAAACAGCTGAGATAAGGGAGAACAATAGAACATCAGAACTAAAGTAAAAATTCACAGATACCCACTAAAATATGAAGAATTACATTATTAAAATTTGGAGAATTGTAACTTAATCACTATCTACATTTGGTTACTTCTGCCACCTGAAAGCAAGCCTTCCAGAATCACGTAAGCAACCAACTTCAAGAGGAAGAAGGGATGGATCACATCTGTCTTGCACCATCCTCTGCCTTCCCAGAACTCCCTTATAGTCGCCCTCAAAATCTTGTCTGCCATTCCTAACAGCTATGGCTAAGAGACAAAATACAGCAAAACCCCTGTCCTGCCTCCCTGCTGCATATACACACTTCCCCTCCTCCTTGCAGGGGGCAGAAATTGTAGTTAAATACTGGCCAGAGATTTAAACTTAAGGACCAAAAATCTGCAAACCACCACAGGCAACCTTCAGAGTCTTCACTGAGGATCCTGAGCATTTCACTGAGGAAATCTGGCTTTCTGGATTTTTCTCTAGGCTGGGAAGGTTGCAAAGCATCAGACCTTCTTAGTCCAGCAATCTGATAAACAGAAAAGGTATTTTAAATTCAGTTCTTATATTCAGTATCTTAATTAAATATTGTCCTTTCTTACAGGCACAGGGAGGAGTATATCTCATGATTAACAAAAAATATCATAACACATGATACATTTTCCTTCAATAAAATTGTTTTGAAAAAAATTATATGGTACAGACATATAAAAGTGGCACTACATGGTTTGTTTTGCTTAGCATGGCTTAAAAGCTCTACTGACACACATTTAGATAAACCTCTTTACAGCCAAAGAGTTTGAATAATATAGCCATGTCAAATTTATGATGGCAAAACCATCATGTACCTCAGCAAATGTCATCAATCTACTTTACTGAAAATGATGCTTAGGAGAAAATACTTTTTCTCTATGTCTTAGAAAAAAAAAAGCTGTATGTGTCCAACACACATATAGCCATTATTATACAAAACAGTACCTGTCTATTTTACCACATGTATCTTTGACAGAGATGTTGCCATCAGCACAGAAACATTACCTGCGTACTTCCCATCTTTCAAGCTGAGCATGTACGTACAGACTTGGAACCACTATGTCTCATTTGATTACAAGAAGTTGCATTATCTTTATGCTTTCTATGTGGCAACCATATTTTGCCTTTCAGCTTCCCTGCCATGGTGGCTAGAATGCACATTTTCCTTGAAAGGCAACTTACAACTCAAATTAAGATAGGTAAGTTACCCCACATTTACCACAGCAAATAAAGAAGTATGTGCCATGCAAAGGAAGAGTTACCCCAAGAGATGACTACCTTTGATGCTGGTTGTGAATATAAACCTTCAAGTGTCCACTTGGTGAGGATCCTCAAAGCTCCAGGAAGCAAAGGGTGACTAACATCAACACTTATAAGGACTTGAATTCATTTTAAAACATACACGTTTTATATGTATATAATATTTCTTCTTAAAGCCTGGATAGTTTTACTAAGAAATTCCATTGTGTAATCCGGTTAAACTGCTCATCTCAGTGACACTGTTTGACGGCGATTGTTATGAGCTATTTCTTTCTTCTTTGATACTTTTAAAAAAATCAGTACTTTTATTAGACACTTACTTAGCACT